TTTAGTTGGTAGTTATACAATATCTAATATTCTATGTAATCTTTACGTGGCACCCTAGAAATGGAACAGGTAAAACAAGGGTTATAACAATTTTATGAAGTGGGATAGTGGTAAATTGGCATCATTCAATGGTAACATTGAATACTCGTTTAACTGTCAACTCATTAATTTTCGTCAATTATTCATTACATGAAATTTAAAATTAAAATAAAGTTCAGTGATCAAATTTGATAACCGATTAAAGTTTAGTAATTCAATTAAAACAAATTAAAGTTAAATTACTGAATAAAGCCTATGATTCCCTCATGTTTATAAAATGTTAAACAATGAAGTTATTTTCGCTCTTTTTTATTTATTTATAATTTAAACGTCTCGTATGAGAATTTGCTGGAAGAGTATACTCAGAGTCTCAGAGACACAGCGTCAACTTTTGGGATTGAGTCGATTTTGACCAATTTGGGGTTGTTTTGATTATAATGGGGTTCATTTGATGAATTTAAAAAAGAGAGCATATTTACAAAAAAAAAAAAAAAAAAAAAAATTTAAAGACAATAATGTAAAAATAAATAAAGATCTTTGAATAAAAATGAGAAAATTCATTTAAATAATAATAATAAATACTAAATAAATGAATATTAACCTCTCTGCCCACTTTCAAATCATTGCATTTCAAAACCCTAGGTACCTGGTAATTTCTGAGCTCTATTTCTTGATAATTAAGTTATTATATAATCGTGAATTCTTAGGGCTGTTGATCTTTTTATTGGATAAGATTTTGTTTCTCTTTTCATTTAGATCCTCGTCTTGGTGTATAAGGAGACCGAGATTGAATGTATGTTTTACTTGTGCGTTTTTGGGATTGAATGTTTAGATTTCTTGGTATTTCGTCAATTTTGCGTCTGACCTGCGATCTCATTTCAGTAGTCCAAGATGTCACACGTTCTTTTGAATTTCTGTTAGTTAGTGATTATCAACTTTGGCAAATGACATAAATTTTACTTAATGGGTCTTCAATTATTCGCCTTCCGGTTTCAGTTCTGATGTGACCCTGGTGAGGAAATTATTGATTTGTGCTTTGTACGATAGAATACACCAATAAGAGTTTTTGCGACGTGAATCTAAGAATGACTGTTCATGTTCTATCTAGCACAATCATATGCGACCAATCAGTTACGATGATTAGGAATTTCGTTGATGTGTTTTGTGGACAATCTTACGATGTTAAATTACGTATCTTCAAGTTTTGCTCGTCTATTGGACAAGAAACTGTACTAAGTGTTATAACATTGTGTTATGTTAATAATCTAGAGAATAAATTTCATGTGAAAGCCTCCTAAATCCTGAGATGTAATCAGGTTGGGTTGTAGAAAATTTGGGTCTTGAAGACTTGTTTAAATCAATTCGACAATTTCGTTAGAGTCAGGATCCACACATATTTTTTACATTTTTTTCTAAATTTTTCCTCTTAGTGCTTTGTAATACACTGATTTAATTCATTGGAGTTGGTAGTTGCAAAGATGGGGCTGTCTTTCACCAAGCTTTTCAGTCGGCTGTTCGCCAAGAAAGAGATGCGCATACTGATGGTGGGTCTTGATGCTGCTGGTAAAACGACCATTCTCTATAAGCTCAAACTTGGAGAGATTGTCACAACAATTCCTACCATTGGTATGTTTCAGGCAGTTTGATGTTTTTATTTTATTTTTTTCTCCATTATTGGGATTTGACTTCACAACGCATGCATGTCTTAAAAGTTAAATGTACATGGTCCTCCAAGATATTTTTATTCCTCTCTTGTGATTGTTCATTCCCTCCATTCTCAAGATTTCTCTATACAAGACCTGAGCATTGCAACAGATTTTTATATTTACTTCATAAGATGTCTATGCAAGGACAATCTCTATCTGAAGTTACTTTCTTTTGCAGTTTCATTTGTTAGTGACTGGCATTTTCTTCCTAAATGTTATTTAGAGATTTTATAGCACGTAGCATAACTTAAAGCTGGTTCTTTTGTCCATGAGAATTAGATTTTCAATGATATTCAGAAGTAAATCCCCAATTCTATTGTGACAGTTCCTATTGGTATGAAACTAAATCTTATTAAAATGTTGATACACACGTTTCAATTTATATATACAAGCATTTTAGTTATCTATTTTGATCTATCTAATGTTTCCTGGAGGGTGGATCTTTTGGTGGAGTTTCCTGCTTTGTAACCTAAATTATAAGTAAATCAATTTTACTTGATTTACGATGGAAAAGGATATTTTACCTTTAATACTATGTAGTCTATATCCATTTTTTTTTTTGTTTTTTTTTTTTAAAATTGCTGCAAGTAATCTGATGGCACCAACTTATCAATGAATAATATACTTCATTAGAGCATATGTCTTCATATCATCTGGACACATGGTTTCATTTTTTCTTTATTTTTCGTTTGAGGTATATATCCGGTTTATTGTCAAAGCAATTTCTAAACTGAAATATTATTTGGTCAGGATTTAATGTGGAGACTGTGGAATACAAGAACATTAGCTTTACAGTTTGGGATGTCGGGGGCCAGGATAAGGTATTCATTTATGGATTTTACTCTCTTTCCCCCACTATATGAAGCATGATTTTTGATGTTGTCATGTTGATGAATTTATTCCTATCCTCAATATGACCTTGGAAGGAGAATTCTGTAAATTTATGCACTTTCAAAAGCAGAAGAGTTATCTGAGGATTTCATTTTGTTTTAACTTCTTTTACTTGAACCAAGTGAAAAACAATACAGCAGCTACTGAAGTTAATTAAAGCAGTTTACAATGTATCACTTAGAAATGATTTAATTGCATAAACTTGGCCACTGGCCAGTAGTCCAGTGGAGTGCAGATGCTCCTCAGATCCTTGTGATTGGAAAAGTGTTACTCTAAATCCCCAGTAACCTTTCCTATTGGTCTATGCATCTGTCTGTGATAACTGCTGCTATTTATAGAAGAAAGATTGTGATAGAATTAAAAGGTTGATTCAGAAATGCGATTACTTCATTCACTAACGGAAATAAATGTCTACTTTAGTTATTTCATAAACACAGATCTAGTCTTGAACTGTCAGATGGGAAGGTGCATAACAGAAGCTTGAATTTTATTAGTCCTCTGCGAATAAAGAATACCCTGCAGCATATCTTGTGTAAACACAATGAGTGCCATGTTTGTGGTGATGCTCAGAAATTAAGTCAGCTGTCACATTTGTATTTCTTTAAATTTCAACTACAATTTTCTGAAGTGCAGTCTCGTTCACATTTATGTGCAAACTTTTTGCATGAATTTGTACAGATCCGTCCACTGTGGAGACATTATTTCCAAAATACTCAGGGACTAATCTTTGTGGTTGATAGCAATGACCGAGATCGTGTTGTTGAAGCAAGGGATGAGCTGCACAGGATGTTAAATGAGGTAAGAGACCTGACTCTTGATTCCTGAAACAGGGTTAAAATACGATGAAATATATAATTTTACACGTAAATGTAATAATGACATGTAACTTGATTTGAAAACAAAACTTAATTACTTTGATTTGTAAACAAAACTTAATTACTTTGATTTGTAAACAAACTTAATTACCCTTGTATTGCATAAGATTTGGCATATTACTCATTTTCTTCTCTTTTCTCAACATTTGTGTGGTGTCTATCAGGATGAATTGAGAGATGCAGTGCTGCTAGTATTTGCAAACAAGCAAGATCTCCCGAATGCAATGAATGCTGCTGAAATAACTGACAAGCTTGGCCTTCATTCTCTCCGCCAACGACACTGGTATCTAGTAGTTGTATCTGTACCCTTTGTCTCTAAATTAGGTGTTACAATCTACTAATGGTACTCAAAATGCAGGTACATTCAGAGCACATGTGCCACTTCCGGTGAAGGTCTGTATGAGGGGTTGGACTGGCTCTCAAACAACATTGCAAGCAAGGTGCGGCTTTCAGATGCTCAACAGTATTTGGATCTTTTTGCTTGCATATTTAATTTTTTGGGTGCTCCTGATGTTTATATTCATTGCATTTTGCAGGCTTAGAGTGCTGTATCTGAGGTCCACTTTTGTATCAGTGCTGGAAGAAACTTCATGTCTTTGTTGCTTTGAACTTATGCTTTTCTGTTATTGGATTTGGTTACCTTTGCAAAGGTTGAAATCTGATTCTCGTACTTGAGAATACTTCATAAATTTTTGTCGGTTCTTTAGCATCTTCCCCTGCTGCTACATATTCACAACTGAGATCTTTAACCATATTCGGCTATTCGCGTACTGTAGGTAATCACCTCCTTTTCTCCTAAACAGAACATACAGTGTTGCTTCTCAGGATAATCGATCCAGATAAAGTTTAGATCCAGTGATAGTGTAACACGTTGGCTCATGCACTTCTGATATAAGCTGTTAAATATCATTTGGATTCAGGTTACAATGCCATCAAGTCCCTGTCAATACTTTGTTTTTCTACCATTTAGTGCAATATTTCAAAGTGGCATTTTCCTATTTCAAATGGGTGATTCTCGAGTCTAGGTGACCAGATTGAGAATAGATTAAAGAAATTTTGGTTGGGAATAAATTCAAGAAATGACTGTTATCAGCCAAGGGCATTTTCCTTTATAAAGCAAATTGCATTCTTTTAAATTTTAAAAGAGAGCCGAATCCGAATGGGCCCAATAATCTCCACAAGAATAGGGACGACTAAAACTCTTTATCCGCGCAAAGCATTTGTTATTTCCTCCTTAATCAGGGGAAGGAGAACCAAGATCAACAAAATGATAATAGATTAGTATATGTTAAAGAAAATAACAGAAAGCATAATATGCGTTATTCCAATACAAACGCTTTGATATCAATACAATGAAATACGAAAACACACAGTACACACACCAAATATCATTAATTCTCACAAGAATGAAACCCACAATATCAACAATTTAGCCTTTCCTATCTCCCTCCCACCTTAGGAGAGCTGCGGAACCTCCTACTATGTTATATTAAGCAGCAGATGGGGCTGCCAAGTAGTGCACGGCCGACGCCTTCGCCTCCGTCATAGCTGCTGCAACCAGTGGCTGCAAAGCCACCGCCTCCAGATGGGTTCCATCTGACACCACCGGCTCCGGTTTCTTGTAATCCAATGACTCGTCGTCGTAAATATCCCACCACTTCTTTACCAGCATCTTTATGTCTTCCCTCTGCATGTTCTCTTCTTTTCCTGTGTATCTCCAAGGCTTTGAACCCTATTTACATAAATTAAGGCCAATAGTTACTAGAATGAATACATTAAAACAACACTACATGTGCATATTGAGGACAATGTGCAGGCAAAGTCATAATATGAGACTCACCGCTGCACAGTAATGCACGACCTTCACTTTGTCAAGCTCAACATTCTCCGGATGACGCCATAACATTGCAAGAACAAGGTTGTACACATTAGGAATCGGCTCATATATATCCTTAAAATACATGTTCAAGAAATCCTGCCACGAATTATATGTCATCATTTTTCATTAGTCTCTCAATTCTAAACGTACAGATATCAGTGTGTCCATATTCAATAGTATTGTCAAGTCTTGTCCATTCCAATTTATCAAATGTGTGAACATGTTTATTGGTTGAAGTCTAAATTTTAACCTGTTCAGCAAAGGGAGTGGGAGGGGTGATTTTAAGAGTCTTCAAGAGCTCCTCATAGGTTGTAAGACTCGGTTCAAACATAAACATCCCAGCGTTGAAGTACAGAGAAGGTGGAAGACCCATCTCCGCCGGCCACTTGACTTTTTCCGGGCACTGTTGGCAGTACCCAATTTTGTACTGTGGTGTGTGACTCCATGTTTTCTCACAGAAACAATCCATAACAGCATAGAAATGGCCATCAGGCAAGTCAAAGAGGCTGTCAATGTTATCATACACTTGAATGTCACCGTCCAAGTATATCATTTTACTGTACTCCACAAACTGCATCATAAACCAAAAAGTTTAGAGCCATCAAATACGAATGTGTACCTCAACAAACGATAAAGAAAATCTGTAACATATATGTACCTCCCATATACGAAGCTTGGAATAGTTGATGACATAATACGCCATGGCAAATTGGGTCTGGTTATCAGGTGGGTATACCGGCTCAATTTCCCTGACTATGCAGCCTTGATCCTCCAGTATGCGGCGGTGCTCCTCCGGGACATCTGGCAGCACCGCCACTACAAGAGGATATGCAGTTTTCACCTTTCTTAACCCCTTAACTAACCCAACAACACCCTTTACGTAGTCACCATTTCCAGCCAAGAATGTTACGAAGGCCCTGCCGGAGAAAGAAGCTGGTTGAACATAACCAGTTGGTTTTACACCTGCTGCAACGAGTTCAGGAGCCATAATTATACCCTCAAGAGCGAATTACTAATAACGAGATTTTTTTATAAAAAAAAGTTAAGATTCGATGCTGTGAAAAGATTAAAGAGGTTTCTTATCTTAATCTTAAGAATAAAGGGAAAAGAGAAATGTTTCTTAGGGAGCCAGAGGGCAATGGAGTTGTGTTTTTCTCTTCAAGCTTGCAATGGGAATGGTGTTTATATAGCGGTGAAACGAGGTAACAGTATTAAGATGCGAATCATCTATTGAAAAATTACAGTATGGGTTCTCAACCTATTATCCGAATAACATGTTGATCTTTAAATATCAAATATGAACCAGTCTGTTCACTTTATAGTTGGAAATTCAAACTCTAACAATGAAAAATCGTAATGTTGACATTCACGTGTCTAACTTTATGAAGTTAGGTTTTGTCAATGAATTTAAATTGACTCATTTTTACAAGGACCACTTGTAAATTCAATGAAGATTTTAGATATTTTACGTCGTTGAAGACCATGAGGATCAATCGAGAATAGTCCCTTAACTATCCCTCAAATGCATTTTTCGCACATCACCTGTTTTCTTAATATATAAGTCCCTGTTTGAGCTTCATTGTTGGGGGGAAAATGTGTATGGAATAGTGATTTTTTGGAGAATGCATGATTAAAAAATATGAAAAAATTAAATTTAATTATAAAATTATTTCATAAAAGAATGTGTAGTTGAAAATGAATTTTGAAAAAAAAAAATGGGACTCAAACATGGTCTAAATGGAAGGACATCTACATAGTTTCCAATATCTTGAAGCGCTGCGCTTTAGCGTCTTTCAATTGTTAAGAATGAGTGATTTGCCAATTTGTCAAAAACATATTAACAAAAGAATTGGGGATGATAAGTTCAAAACAAGACATTAAAACTCAAATCAACTTGCAACTTTTTAAAGTTGGAAAACAAATTTGTTACTAAAGTAATAAATTCGGGATCAATGATGCAAAATTCCTTTAGTTTTTTTTATCTTCCCAAATATTTGATTCCTATAACTTTGAGCTGTGTGCCGACACGTGCCCCTGTTGACTGTGGACAATGTGGTTGAGGGAAGTTTCTCGAAATGACGAGGCTATTTTGGGAATATCAGAAGACGCTAGAAGGCACAACTTATTTCGGGCTAGGGCTGTTCAGGCGGGCAGGAGGCGGCCCGTTGATCTTGTCACGGCTGTGTTATTTGCCTCCACTTGAAAATAATTTATAAATAAATAAAAACAAGTGATCAACAATTGCTATATTTAGAGTCTGTTTGGTACAGATTCTCATTTTCTACAGTAAATCAATTCTCATTTTCAACCAGACATTTTTCAATAAAATAATATTTTCCATCATATAAATACTTTTTCTTCTTTTTCAACCACACATTTCCCATCATATCACTATTCAAAAATCAATTTTTCCCCCCAAAATCCTTACCAAACACACTCTTATTTATAAATTTTATTAAATGGATACTTCATTTTAAAGTACTATAAAGATTAATAATAAAGAAAAAAGGGGACCTAACGTAGCACTTGTTTGAACCCTATTTTTTTTTATGTTAATAAATTTTGAAATAGTGATTTTTTTTTTTTTTTGAAAAGTGTGGTTAAAAAAGTAAAGAAATTTTTTGAGTTTACGTGTAAAATATTTTATTATATGAATGTGTGGTTGAAAATGAATTTTTCTAAAAATGAGTTTTATAAAAACGAGGATGAAACAAGAACGTAATTTTGTATAGACGATGCTAATTGTATATTATACTCATCAATTAGGCAAGTAAAATTACAGCAATTAATTATATGCATCATGTTAAAAAGTAATCGAGACATTCAAATATGAAATATCTAAACATATTTTTTACTTGATTGTCTAATTGTAACCTGTTGGAAATTGGTTTAGAAAATTGGAAATTTGGTAAGTGTAAAAAAAAAAAAATTAAAAAAAAAATTGGAAAAATGATTTTCTTGTTAACTTCAACCAAATATTCGGACTTGATCCGATCATTAAATTACAAATGTAAATAGACCAACTTATTTTACTCGTCGAGTAGATCGTCGTGGTATATTTGGAAGCTAAAAATCAATTTCGGATGAATGAGAAATTACGGTCCAAAGTTGGGAAAAAAAATAGAGGAAACTGCCGGATATTTGCCTAAGTGTGTCACTCGTCTGATCCTGGACTGTCGCTCGAGCTACAGGCTAGCGATGAAGTCATTGTTTTTATTGCTCGAGCAAGGTGATGACAACAGTTTAGTGATAGTAAATGGTGCGACCTTTGACAAGAGTTACTCAGTTTGGAGCGCGATACTTCATTCACAACTCCTCATCCTCTATATATAGGACCCTGAACGTCCATTAAATATCTTATACCATATTTGTATTGAACATTGCATAAAAACTCTTGTAAATCATTTTCAAATTCATTCAAAATCATTTTCTTCTTTGTAGAGAGAAACTTCATCGAAAAAAATTGAAATTTAGAGACTTAATTGTAATAAATTAAGCTCATGTTTGGCCCCCATTAAATCAAATTACATTACATTAAATTTTTCTCTCTTTTTATTACAACCACACATTGTTCAAATAAAATAATATTACAAACAAATCTAAAACTTTTCATTACTTTTCCACCACACATTCTTTCATCAATCACTATTTCAAAAATTTTCAACCATAAAAAATGTTAAATAATGGGGGCAAACAGGGCTAAGTTGATAGATTCAATTAAGATTTTACAGAAAAGTTCGGTGACCAATAACAAAATAACCTTAATCAAGTAGAAATTAAAATTTTAATTTAAGTCAAAGTCAACAATTAATTTTAGCTACAACTTTTTAATAACGTATTTCATTAATTTTTATTAAAAATTATTAAAAATTTAATTTTAATTCTCATTCACAGTGACTATGTAAACAGTCGGTCTATTTGTACAAGATGATTCACCTTGTACGCTGTCCAGAAACAGTAGCATTGCTTGCATTGGACACTGCCAAAAAAGTGCAGTGTTGACAGTCAATGCAGGGCTGCAAACATTGCTTTCGAACCTTGTATAGGGTGATCGTAGCAGATCTCCTAAATAAAACTGTCTAGGAACTGGCCAATTTACTCGTATCTTCCAAAACGGAAGAGGACAAAAGCAACGTCAGCAAATTTAACGGGGCAGCGTGCAAGTTGCATGGAAAGTGTGCTGCAAAGTGCAAAGCACGTGATTGGAAATGTTGTAGAATTTCCCAGCTCACTCTAATCGATGGAGTATGTGGTGGCTAATTTCATGCCAGTGTCATTACATGAGACTTGAGTTCTTAACTTCCAAATAAGATTCCGACGCTGCTTGGTCTAGTAGTGACAATCGAGCCGAGCGACTCGTCGACTCGATCGCTCGACTCGTACTGTAGGGACCTATGAACCGCTTGGATTCGTCAAACAAAGAGCCCGAGCATGAGTCGAGCGGGCCGCTAGCTAGACGAGCCGAGCTCATGTTCCCAAAATCAAACTGGAAGAGAAGAAGTAAAACAAAACTTAAATAAATAGATTTGCTGATTTTAAGGCTTACTTTTATTTATTTATTTATTTATTTTTCTGGATAAAATGAATCGACGAACTTCCAAACCAGTGAAGCATTAGGCTCAAATTCTCGTTATTATCTATTTATAAAAAAAAATTATGTGTTGAATTTCATATGATAAAACGGATCGAAGTTAAACTCGACTAAGAATTTTTCCCTAAGAGTTTAAAATTTTTAAACAAAATACAATGCATCAAGTCTTTGTTGTCAATAAGTCATCGCTACAAGTCTTCTGCATTAAAGAGATGAAAGAAACTGAGAGGAAAGAAATAGGAAAAACCCCAGTTGGCGACTTCACCAGAGTTCTATAGAGTGATGAGATCAATTCAAAGAGTCTTTCTCCTGGCACTATGGCAATAATAATTAGGCCTCATTTACAAGGCAAAATTTGGTTTTGTTAGAAAAGTAATGAAAGGGACATAAATCATGCCAAGAGCTTTGATGATGTCTATTAATGGGTTTTAAGGAAGGTTAGTTGGATCCAATGTTTCTGATATAGGTAAAGATCCATTTAAAGTTATTCTTATCTTTGGTATACTTTATTGTTATTAATTTTATTCGTAATGTATTGCATAGTTGTTGTATGATCATCACAAGTGTCATGTGACGATAGAATCTAAAGAGTTCGGATTATCGTTCTTATGAGAACTATCTATTTAATGATTAATCTAAATATTCCTAACCCATATTTCAATAAAGTAAAGGCCGATGACAAGATTTTGATTAGACCAGTATTAACTAAGAAAGTAAAGGTAATTAAACGATAGCGGTTCTCTTGGATCAAGGATAATTCAATATGATGGTTAAAGTGTCGTGATTCACGATTCCACCGTAGTTATCGTCTTTTAATCTCGATTCTCAATTTCAATTCCTAAAGTTGCACTCTATCGAATTCACTAATTGATTCTATTTATCTTTCTCAAGTCAAATTAATTATATCTAGTTGAATCAATACTGTATATCTCTATGTGAATTTGAATAAGACTCAACTAAACGTATTAAATCACCTAGAAATTCAATTAAAGAGTGTAACAATAATAAAAAATGTATTTTTACCTTATATCAAATTGTCAGATTTCATCACGTGGTTTAAACAAATCATGAATCAGTGATCAAATAATTCGAGCATTAAGAAATGAAGTAAAATCAATACATAAAACAATTAAATCCAAAAATCTTGAGAAATGAAATTAAATGTTCAAATCTAAGTTACATTGTTTTTCCTAACTAATTATTTATTTACAATCATAACGAAAGAAAAACTCGAAAGAGTTTTGTAATACGTCGAGCTAGTGGTGGCAATCGAACTGAGCGACTCGTCGACTCGACCGCTCGACTCGTTCCGTAGCGACCTACGAACCGCTTGTGTTCGTCAAACGACGAGCCCGAGCATGAGTCGAGCGGGCCGCTAGCTAGACGAGCCGAGCTCA